GTTCTCAGCAAATGCAGGGTTTCCAGACAGCTTGCTTTCATAAATGAATAGTCAGATGCAATTCTCAATAAAGAAATGCAATTTAAGACGCAGCGGTAGTAGAAACATATGTTTTACAACACTGAAGGAGTGTAAAATTGCAAGATGAATCTGATATAAGTTCAGATTTCCAGTCTTTGAGCTAACCATGATTATGCTGATTACATTTAGAATAATACAACTTTCAGAAGTGCAAATAAAGACAAAATAGGCATTTTAAAGCAGAATATCAATTGATAGGAGCAAATAGAGCAAGTGGGAGAATTGAATAATTATTTTTCATAGATGCTGTTTTGGATCTTCCAAACTGTATCTCTCTTCACTGATTTTCTTGTCAAAGCTATTTTTTTTTTTTAAAGTTGGTCAGTGTGTAACCATATGTTTAAGTAGCTGTAAATATTGCTGTAAATTACGAGCAGTACAGCTTTCTTTTGCTCAACTAGACCTTAGTGTCTCTGCAAATAATACGCCTGAATCTCCTTTCTCAGCCTTGGACCAGAATAAGTGTTCAAGTGTTTTCCTAAAGTTTTAAGGCTGTTTAGTGATGAGCCATTGGAAATGTTCGCAGATTGCTTGCGATTTTCTAGTAGATTAGGTAAATTTCATAGACAGAATTACTGATATGTAGATATTAACCTCATATTTTAAGGTTTTGCCATCATATAATTTTTTTTTTTTCAATCAGGAGATAAGCACAAGAACTATATCGCTGTGGTCCTATATAAACAGCCAGTTAGATGAGTTCACGAATCCTTTCTACGTAAACTATGAAAACCATGTCCTGTATCCTGTTGCCAGTCTGAACCATTTGGAACTATGGGTGAACTACTATGTCAGATGGAACCCAAGGATGCGGCCTCAGGTATGAGTTTTCACGTGACTTTTTAGTGAAGAGCATAGAGATTTAAAAAAATTGTTCTTTTTCATAGTGTCAGATGCAGCATTTAGTTTCAAGTGCTCATACGTTGTACGTACTTCAGTTGATAGGGAAGAAGGTGATTTTGCTGAAGAAGGTGCAGGATGTGTTTAAACTTGGTAGAAGGATGTTTTCACTAAAGGCACCTGTAGAACAGGGAGTTTATTGGCTTGTGAAAGGTAACGGATTAACAGTCTTGGTTGTCAGAAGATTAGTTTTGTAACACTTCCATAATACTTTGTAACACTTTTTAATACTTTTATTGCCTTAACCACCTTGTAGGGTTTAGTGTACCTTTGTTTTTAGTCATGTTTTGCCCTTTATCAACAATGATACAAAATACAGCAGCAGTTTCTGAAAGAATTGGACTACGTACTGAGTCATTTTGTAGGCTCTCTAAACTTAGCATCACATAGATGCTTGTTTTCAATTGACCTTTATGGTTTCAAGCTGGTACGCTAAAAATTAAACACTCCCTATACGTGCTCCTTGATTCATCCAGTATTTGTTCTTGTAAGTAATGTCTGCTATTCAGATAAATCTCTAAATCACATCAGAGAGATACTCCATATGCTCTCGTACTTAGAAGTCTGAAGAAAGAACGCTCAGTTTATGTCACAACCATAATATATCTGAGGGTGCTACACCATCTCTTTATTAAGGTAACATTCCAAGGTACCCCCGAGCATATTATGATAAATTACCTGTGTTAAGTGACTGTTCGAAAGGTGCTTTCATCTTCTAGCACTTAGAATGAGACGTGAGTTCCAAATTTATTAGACACCCACAAGTCAGAGGCTGTTGTAAAAGATGGTGTTCCAAGGTGAGTTTCAAGGACAGTACACTGGTAGAAGTCCAGGCATCTGAGAAATATCTTTTCAGGTCCTGGAAAAGTCTGGATTGCTTGCTTTCTCACTGACATGTTTCCTCTGAGCTGATTTCTTTCCCTGACTTGTTCTATTTTTGTTGATGTAGTCCTATGACTGTTAGGTACCTGTTAGGTGTTAGCATGTGTTAAAACTTGAAAGGTGGTGTATTTTAATCTTCATGCTTTTAAAGTAAAATTGTCAACTGCTTTTTAGCAAAATATCATCTTTCCCTTAGCCCATTTGCTGAAAATCGCTTGTGTGGTTTATGCACGTTTTAGTATAATCGACCTGCAGCAGCGTCAGTTTGTTACTTGTATTTAATTGAGATCTGTAGGCCCTGAAAGCGAGCAGGCTTTGTAAACACGTGTGAAAGTGAATCCCAGTCCAAAAGAGATTGGAGAGGGGAAGAGATGGTGTAATGAGAAAAAAATCAGAACTGTGGTTTACTTAGTGGCACGCTGTGCTCAGTGCCTCTCTGCTGGAGAGCGCTCTGCCCGCTTCTGTTGGAGAGAACTCCAGTACCCTAGCGTCTGTGAGTCACTGATCTTCACTGCTCTTTGAGATCACGTCTCTCAAACCAGCAGGCTGAAGGTAGCAAAATTTGATAAGCCTGGTAACCGCCTTAACTTTACCACCACCTTCTTTCTGGAAGAGCTAACACAACTGTTTTGACTTTTTAGAGCTACCACGTGAGCTTTGTGTTGTGAAAATAATCGCATGCCTTTCCTCTTGTCTCTGGCCTGAATTTAGTGATATTTGTGACATATATTCAGAACTGTTTCGTGTCTACTTCGATAAATTTGATGCAGAAGTTACAGGGTTTTGTTGCAGAATTGTGTTCTCCAGTCTAATTATGAAAGCACAAACTCATGCAAACAAGTAAATAACAGTCTTTGTAATCTCAATATTCTGAGTTTGCTTTCTTTTGTTTTTGCGTAGTCTGGTTTCACACCCTGTTAGCTGATTCAGTAACTCAGACCCAGCAAAAAAGACCATCACCATTGCCACGCCCAGCAGGTCTTCACTTAACCTCAGTGAGAAGATTTCTTAAACAATCAGTGGATTTATTAAAAGAATGGGCATCTCTGCCTACTGAAAAAAGCTGGTTTTGTTGAATAACTTTTAATGTGGTTCTTTTGTTTTTCAACTGGAATAAGGGACAGTTAAATATTTAATGTTAATGAAGAGCACTCTGATGAATAGTAATTCAAGTCACATCACGTACTGTTTTATCAGCTGCAAAAACTTCTTTAGGAAACTAGAAAATGTTTATTGTTTTTAGGAGCTCACGAAAAAGGAGAAATGCCTAATTACATGAATTTAAGGGAAGATAAAGAATAATCCTTTAATATAATCAGAATGGATGTTTGATACCCGTTATCAACCATCTTTATATTATGGGAGAGGAAACTCACAAGAGCAAAACGGCAATTTTTGGTTTGAGGCAATATTTTAGGTTTTCTGATTTCAGCTTTATTAGTGAATGAGGCTTGAATTCTGATATGGACTGAGAGAGGTTAATCATTGCACTTCATTGACTTTTCTATTGGAAATGAGCATACATCACCTTTAATTCTTTGAATTTGAAAATTTCTGAATGCTAACTGAATATAAGCATTTATTTTGGCTTTGTTGTACTCTGTCTTCAAATATCTGTGTCTCATCAGACCTCTGACAGTACAGTAAGTCTGATCATATTCATCATTGCACTAGGACATATGGAGTTCAGAGTTATTCTGATGTTCTGTAAAGAAAAGATTGCTTATGATGATACATCTTCAGTTCCAGCTGAGTTTTGTGGAAGGCTGAATTGATGGATCTGATGTTGTTTATTTCTATCTAGAGCCACGTTTTAGGATTACAGCTGTATTGCAATAGGTGCTGTGCAATTAGGTGACACACAGTCTCCTTCCAAAGGGTTCAAAGCTCAAGTGTTTGAGAAGTGAACAATGTGGAAAATTTTAGGGTAACATGGACATATCTTGTACATTTCTTTTTTGCTAAACTGTGCTTCAGCAAGGTCATTCTAATTCTTAAGTGAAATAAAATGTTCCTTGGTTTCAGTTTGGAGGTGTTACATCATTATTGACTTCTTGTCCCAAGAAAATTAGATAGATTTTAGTCCTATCTTATTTGAGTTCATTGACTGAGAAGAGGTTTTTTTTCAGATTTGCCCTTTCCTTGGGTTGGAGAAATGTGTATTTATGCGTGACATGTGGAAGATAAGCTCTTTCATTCTCTCATATAGGAGTGTGTGCTCTGTGCATACCTGCTACTGGACTTACAGGTGATCCTGCTAGCCTGGAACAGATAAGATAGTATGATGCTTTTGAATGGTTTCAGTTGATATCCTATATTTCTCTTTCCTTTCCTGTGTAGTCACTCAGACCTCTTCTTTATGCTGGTTTGAGGAGTTCTGGCTGCCAGGTGTCCGTTAGTTATCTGCTTGGGCAATTCTGGAAGGTGAGGAGAACACAACCAATGATTGTGCTGAGTATGATTTCTGCAGGGACAGTATTTTTGAGCGTAGTCTTATCACTCGTCTCTGCAGAGCGTGAGTAAAGCATGAGTAAAAGTTCTGGTCCTTTCAATTCAAGCTGTCTCTTCCTATGTGAGAGGCAAGGAAAAGAATATATTTTAGTCACAAAATTTACCTAGTCCATTAGGATATGTTTGGTTGTTTTTATACCTTCTGCAAAATGCCATTTTAACCCTTGGAGTACAGGGCTTAAACTTGTTTTGTTTTAATTTTTTTTTGTTTATTTTTTTTTCTGTGCCTGCTAATTTTTTTCAAGCTCTGTTCTGAAAATTTGGGCACTGTGCTGGAGATAATATCATAAGAATCCTTATTTTTTCAAATTCCTTCTTCTCTTTGTGCGTGTGGACTTTCATCCAGAATATAAGACTAGCACCATCTATAACATAGAAATTCAGTTCAGCTACTGGAATGGGATCATCTGCTAAATGCAGTCTTCGGAGCTTCCATGAAAAGCCAGGGAAAGTCTGTTCATAGGTTAACAGCTGCCTTAAAAAAAGAAAAGGAAAAGGTAGGAATAAATAACTTTGTTCAGTATATATAGAAATGATCTGGAAAGTGTATACATAGGTTACAATGCTGCTTTTTTTTAATGCTGAGTGTAGAATTGTAGAAGTATTTGATGTGTTGAGCAGTTGAGTGATTAAATGTCAGCTGAATTTCACTGTCAATAAACACAAAATATTGCATATTTAAAAGAACAAATAAGATGCTAAGCATCACTGGAGAAATTGTTGAGAATAAACTGGTAAACATAATTACTGAGATGCTTTATCCTGCACATAACAGGATAGGACTTGCTGTCTAGTCCGTGAGATGTTTATGTTATTTATACCTGCCTTCAGTCAAATTGCCTGGCATTTTCCTCTGTGAGCATGTTGACATTGGTTACAATATTTTCAAAGTTCATACATATGATTTAAAACCGTTTTGTGGCAGGACGAAGCTGACATATGGCTCAGGAAATGCTTAGCACTGCTGGTCTGCGATCCATGGTCTTGAGTCCATCTTTTTGCATGAACGAACGAGGCAGGAGATGTCAGCAGAAGGAATTGGTTTGTGGGTTAGGTTCTGAGTGTTGCCCTAGCCAAGGAGATTTCATCTCTGCGTTTACTACAGAGTTTCTTGTGAGACAAGGCAAGTTTCTGACCGTACCTGATGGTTTCTCTGTATCTGGGTGTCTAAGTCAAGATTTCCAGGGTCTGATTTACTGCAGATGACTTAAACCTGCAGATAAAACATCAGCGTTCAGTTCATATGGAATAAAATAAAGACTAACCGCTTATTCTGTGTGCTGAAAGAATCTGTAATTATTTAAGAAAAAACAAGATTGGTATCCTGTAATAAGCACAGCATCAGAACAGGCACAGGAAGGGAGAAACTAGTACTGTACAAATAATCTTCGTTTTTCGGAGTTTCTAATACATTTTGAAGAGCAAGCACTCAAAGCATCACTCTGATCTGTCAGATGTCTAAATCTAAATGGGCTGTAGGTTTTAACAAGCAATGGCATCAGCTCATAGCGTGTAGAGTTTCCTGAG